TCACCCTTTGGGAGCGGAGGTCAGGTGCGTATCTGGTAGCAGCACCAGCCGTGGCTCGGATCAGCAGGTCAGGGAGGAGAGGCGGGAAGGAGGAGGACTAGCAGGCCTCGCTAAGGCCCCCATACCTCCTGAGAGCATACCGACTCAAAAGACCCCCATACCTCCTGAGAGCATAGCGCACCCCTCACCTGTTGGCAGCACCAGCTGTGGCTCGGTCGAGCAGGTCAGGTGAGAAGAGAGGCGGGAAGGAGGAGGACTGCAGACAGGCGGCCAGTGAAGGTGGCCCGAACGAGTCGAACGACAAATGATCAGGCGGCCTGAGAGTGGTGGGTGTGAGAGACGGGGAATGGTGAAAGGGAGGAATGGGGAAAGGGGAATGGGATGGGAATGGCCATGGGAAATGGGTGCAGCCACTGATGACGGCCCGAACGAGTCCAAAGCCAACTGATCAGGAGGCCTGGAAGGCTGGAAGTAGTTTGGGGAATCGTTTTGGGTGGGGAGATGCGAATCGGGACATGGGGAATGGGTGCAGGCAGGCAGGCAGCCAATGTTGAGGGCCCATATGAGCTGAGAAAACTGATCAGGCGGCCTGAAACGACGCGGGATAAATTGGGGAATGGTTTGGCTGGCAGGCGGGAAATGGGAAGGGTGAAGACAAGCCCATGTGCCATACCTTATCCAGGACATCGCCCCCTGTTTTAGCCACATGCACGTCCATTGACGCGCTGACACCTGAATAGGTTCCCCCCCTGGCTTGCGATTCTTAATTACTCCCACCTGTTCCATCGTGTCTCCACTCCATGTCTTAATGTTGCTCGGAGGACATCGTGTCTTAATTACTCTCCTACCAACATGCAAGAACTCTTGACATGCTGACGTGACGACCTAGCACGTTCAGACGTTCTTGAGAATTCTCAAAAATACCTTCCCATGTCCTCGACCCCCCCAGCCACATCCGCATCCCCATCTAGGCGACGCTTGGTCAACAGCCACCTCAGCAGCCCATACCTGTTCCATGGGGTCTCATGGCCTTCCAGCATCTGAGCCACGGACACATCTCAGTACCGCACTGACGAGCTTGTAGGCTCGACCCTGGCCTTGCCATTCTTGATTCCCCATACCTGTCCCTTCACCCTCTCTTGGTCCTCCACCCTCCGAACCACATGCACTTCCCGTTATCACACTGACGAGCTAGTGGGTTCAAACCTGGCCTTGCGATTCTTACTTGCCCATACCTGCTCCATAGCCTCTCCTGGTCCTCCACCATCTGAGCCACATCCAGAAGCCACTTCGCTCGCTCTGGCACCCCCCCCAATCCCTGATGGGCGCATGGGGGGATGGAGGGATTGAAATCGCACAGATGGGACGCGAGATCAGGCAGGGGGAATCCACCGTCACTGGGGCCATACCCACACCTGAAAGAGGGAAAGAGCAGGAAGGGCAAACGCGCTACTAACAAGGACCGGTGCAAAGCAGAGCAGAACGAGCGCTGGGCAAATGCGCGGAGCAGAGCAAAACAGAGAATGCAGCAGGAGCAGCAGGAGCAGCAGGAGCAGCAGGAGCAGCAGGAGCAGCAGGAGCAGCAGGAGCAGCAGGAGCAGCAGGAGCAGCAGGAGCATGCTGGAGAGCTCCAACTCCCTTTGAGCCAGCATGCAGAGAAACGCAGGTGACAGAAGCAAGGGAGCAGGAGCATGCAGGCCACTCAAACTTACCCTGGCAGCGTCCATGCCCTCGCCCTGAGCCAGCCCCAGCAGCACGGCCGAGTGACACACGCCTGCCAGGAATGCACGAAGCAAGCAAGGTAAGGGCAAGGTAAGGGCAAGGCAAGGCAAAGGTAAGGTGGGAGGCACGGAGACGGATCATGGATGCTGGTTGGCTGCGATGGTGACTTTGGAATCGGCTCACAAGGCATGCTGGGGGAGCGGGAGATGCCTGTGAGGGAGACGCCTGAGAGGGAGACGCCTGAGAGGGAGACGCTTGTTGTTTGAATAAGTCAACCAAGACGAGATTCAGCAGCTGCGAAAGGCTGAAAGCACATGGATGGATGGATGGATGGATGGATGGATGGATGGATGGATGGATGGAGTGGCAGGGAAGTAAACACAGGCGAGCTTCATCTCTTCCTGGGAATCACACGCGAGCTGACTGGCGAGCCTCGTCTGCACATCTGCTCCACTGTCTCCGACTAGGAGACCTTTGAGTCGACTCAAGTGGACCCAAGTCGACTCAAAAGTCACCTCGTTACAACACCACATGACACGAGCCTCATATGCACATCTGCTCCATCCATCCATTGCCAGCGACTGATTCGATACAGATATCAATAGAAGGAGACTCGCTTGTTGTGAGTGATGCGGACTTACGAGCCTCCACGTCATCGATCTCTTCAGCTGACGCTGCATGGCCATCACAATTCGAGTGCACAGAGCCGAGAATCCTGTTGTATGGATGGATGTGTGTATGTGTGTATGTATGTATGTATGTATGTATGTATGTATGTATGTATGTATGTATGTATGTATGTATGTATGTATGTATGTATGTATGTATGTATGTATGTATGTATGTATGTATGTATGTATGTATGTATGTATGTATGTATGTATGTATGTATGTATGTATGTATGTATGTATGTATGTATGTATGTATGTATGTATGTATGCATGCATGCATGTATGTATGTATGTACGCATGTATGTACAAAGCACAGGCGATATGCGTGGATTCACTCCGGGTCAAATCAGAAGTCACAATTCGTGTGCACAGCATGCGCGGATTCACAACCAAAAAAAAGTTGCACATGTGTGCATGCTACGCATAGATGGACGTGACACATAAAAAAGCAGTGGCATAGAGCTATTATAAACAAGGAGTGCAATGGCTGCAAATCAGGGATGCAATGTGACTGGACTGTAGCAGCGTGTGGAAACTTGATCACGGCCACAAAGTCACAACCTACCTCGCGCAGGTGCTACCTGGTGTCAGGGTGCCACGTGCTTACCTTGTGTCACGTGCTACCTGGTGTCAGGGTGTCGGTCTCAGGGGCTACCTGGTGAAGGCCCAGTCGAGGAAGTGAATGCGCTGCTCCGTGTGATTGAGAAGCAGGTCTACCGCTTCCTGATGCGGTACAGTGCGGTATGACGAGGTGGCATAGATTGGATGGAATTCTCGATTTAATGTTATGCAATGCGTACGCAGCAGAATAAAACCTTCTATAGCGTAGACTTATATCACTGTAATGCATGCTCCAGGATGCAGTACAGCTGTGGCACTAGATGAAACGACGTTTCATAGAATGACATGGGGATGAAACGGCATTCGGAATGCACAGGGGTGCAGAGATAGGCTTTAACTGTTCGCGAAGAAAGGAAAAGGGGTCCGCGAAGTGAAGAGAGAGACGGAACGCGACGTACGAGCGAAGGAGCGTTCGCGTCGGCGAGGGAGTAACCGATTTCGTCGAGTCGCTGAGCGATAGCCGTAGCCAAGTCCATGGTTGCGCTTCGTAGCTGAGAATGCTCAAGGGAAGCCTTGACAGAACGATTCGTGAGACATCTAGAAGTCGGCTCCTAGGGGGTAACAGGCGTCGATATAGTCAGCAGATCCTAACCGTCGCCAAGCTCATGGTTGCGCCGTGAAGCGCCTTCGCAGCTGAGAAGGCTCAAGGAAAGCCCTTCAACGAGGATATCGCCGGTGGTCCGACCAACACAGAGCAGCCGAGGGTCAGGCGAAACAGCAAACGAATCCAGCTTGCGAGTTGCAAGCAGGCAATAGACATGTGCGAAGACTTGATCCTAGTCTCGCAGGGAATGTACCTCGTCTGCCCAAATTCCCAAGGATTGAGCTCCTTCGCTTGGAATCCATTATGGTGAGAGTTCGAAAAGCAGGGCTCCTGTACTTGGAATTCTCTAGGGGTCGGAGCGTGTGGTGTTGGGATTCTCTCGGGCGTTTTCTCTTCACAAATCTAGACGCACGGCACACGCAGGTCCGTACCACTGAATCGTGTGTTTTGAAATCTGAGACAGGGTGCTACGTTAGAGTACATACTTCTCACGAACTGACGTCATTTGAAACTTGTTGCGAACGTCTACCGCGTTCTTGTTTAGGGCATGTGAGTTGGGGTACGAACAAGCATCCAGTACGAACTTCTAGAGCGGTAAAATACATTTTTGGTAGGTTGCAGGTAACTATTACCGCGTTACAGAGTGGTGACGGTACGAACTTTCGACAAAATTATAAGATATCACGCGCCCTTACATTAGCAACTCCGAGCGCGGTGGGACGTAGGTTTGTTTCACTCAATTGTCAATTTGTGCAGAATCTTATAAACATTCGGAGGCATAGAAAAAGAAAAGGTTTCTATTGTAACATTGGATTGGAGCTCTCTACAGAGAGGATTGGAAAACCATTTTGCCGTTGGTGACTTGAGCCAATCAATCTCGTGGTTGACAATCAATGCAGAACCTTGGCGGGAAAACTTGTCCATAAACCGCTTCGAGTTTCGTTGTTCTGACACCACCGACGACTTCTTCCACCAACCGCCTCCTATGCGACAAGCGTGCGACGAGCATTTCCTTTCTGCTGTGGCCATCAAGTCACGCGACTGTGTCGGGTGCCACGACTTTGCCCTAGCTCCCACGAACCCCAGTGAATTGAAGACGCGTTTACATTTGCATACGGCATGCTCCAAAGTCAGACTAACTTCGGGAAAATCTAGCACTTCCGCTGAGGATTTCACTTAGCGACACCGCAGTGATTTGCGGACGGCGCTAATGTTCGCTTCTCTCAACTACGAACACTGATGCCCATTTTCATCAGCTAGAATCTATTAACGACATAGCGCGGCGACTTTTACAGAAAAAGTGACATCAGTGTGTGAAGTGATTCTTTACAGCACGCCCTCAATACGGTGATGTGTTGCGAACAATTTCTGAGCCCCTTCACCCTCAGCCTGGAGACCTCCCTGCTGTTGGCCTGTACAGTGTAATACCATTTTATGGCTGCTGCTGGTTCATGTTGCTCTTCACAGTACGCCATGATTTAGGTTTTCCTGCCTCTGTTTTAGACTCTGAAGAAGAGCCCGAGGCTTCGCTATCCCAGTTTCGCGCCTCTGCGTTCTGCGAAGACCTGTCGCTTGCGTTTGTAGTCACTCAAGCGGGAGTCGACTCGTAACACTTCAGTGATTGGGTCTGACCCATGGTGGATCGAAGCCACGTTTTTTCTAGCAGTCGCCGTAAAAACTATTTTTTGAGCTAGTAGCCGATTCCATTAATAACTTTTTTCATGGCGGGGTTGTGTATAGCGTGTACGGAAGGTCGGGTTAGAATCCAAGCCCTTCTGGATGCGAGATGAAGAGAGAAACTGGACGAGCTCGCACGCCTTTTATACGAAACCACCATCGGCTCACCTTCATTCCTGTCTCCTGGACCTCTCGTGTGCGAAAAGCCACGCCTACACAGTCACAAGTAGCGCCAGCGCCTCTTCCCCTCGATATAATGCCTCCTCCCGTCGACCTCTCCTCTCAACCTCGTCCCGGTACCGCAGGCAGTACACCCCGAGGGGTAAACCAGGACTGGTTACCCGCAGATGGAGGGGTACGAGGGGGTAACCAGGAGAAGTTACCCGAGAAAAAGGTTACCCCCACTCTTAGCGTCGCACATAGAGTCGCTTCTTTCAGGCAAATGGCTGGGGAGGCCAGGAGCTCCTCTCCCGGACCTGCGAGCTCGGGAAGATTCGGAACCGGCGCTGCAGGTTCGGCGAGCTTGTTTGGGCGTGGTTCGGCTGAAGCTGGTTCGGAGGAAGTTGGGTTGGAGGTGCAGCTAGGGCAGCTGAGAATAAAGAATACAGATTTGAAGCTTAATGTGGAGAATTTGCAAGCAGAGCTGAAGGCTTCTAAAGAGCAGATCGGGCAGCTGACAAAAGAAATTGAGGCTTGGAAGAAGGAGGGAGTTTCGAAAGACACTGCTGCTGAGATGAAAGCGGAGATTGAGAAACTAAGGAATGAACTGGCAGAGAGCAAAGGAGGAGGGGGGAAGGGGCTGGGGGGACTGGGAGAGAGAGATAAGGAAATTAAGGAGATGGAAGAGAAAATGATGATAATGGAAGTAGACGTTGGGAAGTATAAATTCGTGCATGACAGCTTAAAAGAGAGGGTAGAAAGGCTGACCAGGGATAACAAGAAACGAATTGCGTCTGAGAAGGAGGCTCTTGATGCGATTGGGAAAGTGAGGGAGGAGAAGGAGGAGGTGGAGAGGAGATTGGCGGAGGTCGAGATGGAAAGGGATGAGGCGAAGAGGAGGTGTGAGGAGGCGGAGAAAGGGAGGGAAGAGGCTGTGAGGGTGAGGGAGGAGGTGGAGGTGAGGAGAGATGAGGATGTGGCAGCTGTGCGGAAAAGACTGGGGGAAGAGAGGAGGAGAGTGGAGGAGGAGAGGGATGGAGTGGTGAAGGCGAAGGAGGAGGTGGTACGGGAGAAAGAGAGACTGATAAAGAGAGTGGAGGAGGAGGAGAGGAGGCGAGAGGAGGCTGAGGGCGGGAGACGAGAGGCGGAGGAGGAGAGGGCACGAGCTGGAAGGGAGAGGGAGCAGGCGTGGAAGGAGAGAGAAGAAGCGGAGGCAGCGCGCAGGGACGCGGAGAAGGATAGGGATGAGGCGGTTAAGGCCAAGGAGGAGGCGGAAGCGAGACGGGAAGAAGCAGAAAGTGCTCGTGAAGCTGCAGAAAGGAAGCAAGAGGAGGCAGAGCGGGAGAAAGAGCAGGCAGAGGAAGCGAAGTCAGAAGCAGAGGCACGGAAGGAGGAGGCTGAGGTGGAGAGACAGAAGGCGGAAGAAGAGAAGGAACAGGCGAAGAACGAGAGAGAAGTGGCGGAGGCAGCACGGGGGGAGGCGGAGAAGGAGAGGGATGAGGCGGTAAAGGCTAAGGAGGAGGCGGAGGGGAAACGAGTGGAGGCAGAAAACGCTCGTGAGGAGACGGAGAAGAGGCAAGAGGAGGCAGATCAGAGGAGGGAGGAGGCAGAAAGCAGAAGAGAGGAGGCGAAGAGGGAGAAGGAGCAAGCAGAGAAAGCAAGGGCAGAGGCAGAGGCAAGGAGAAGCGAGGCAGAGAGGGAGAAGGAGCAAGCAGAGGAAGCAAGGGCAGAGGCAGAGGCAAGGAGAGACGAGGCGGAGAGGTCTCAAGCAGAGGCTGAGGCGAGGCTAGCAGAGGGAGAAAAGGCGAAGGAAGAGGCGGATAAGGCAAGAGAGGAGGCGGATAAGGCAAAGGAAGAGGCAGAGAAAGCAAGGGAGCAGGCAGAGAAGTCAAAGGAGGAAGCCGAGAAGGCAAGAGAGGAAGCAGAGAAGGCAAAGGAGGAGGCGGAGGCAGCAAAGAGTGAGGCTGAAGAGAAGCTAGCAGTGGCTGAGGAGGGCAGGTGTGCAGCTGAGCAGGCTCGGTCCGAGGCTGACGAGCAATCAGCTGAGGCAGAGAAGAAGAGACTAGCGGCCGAGGAGGCTCGGGCCGAAGCAAGGAAGCAGGTGGGGGAGGCAGAGGAGGCACGGGAGAAGGCTGAGCAGGCTCGGGCCGAAGCTGAAGAGAGGAAGCAGGATGCCGAGAGAAGAAGGGAGGATGCTGAGATGAAGCAGAAGGAAGCTGAGGAGAGAGCGGAGGAGGCAGAGGGGGGAAGGAAGGAGGCAGAAGAGAGAAGGAGGGAGGCCGAGAGGGGGAGGGAGGAGGCTGTGGGGTTGAGGGCTGAGGCAGACGCGAGGAGAGAAGCAGCGGAGAAAGCGAAGGAGGAGGCGGAGGAGAAGCAACGAGAGGCAGAGAAAGCACGGGCTGCAGCTGAAGAGGCGCGGGAGGGAAGTGAGAAGGCTCGACTGGAAGCTGAGACAAGGGGCAGAGAGGCTGAGAAGGCAAAAGAGGTGGCTGAGAAAGCAAGAGAGGAAGCTGAGACTGCAAGGGGAGAGGCGGAAAGGGAAAAGGTTGAAGCGATAAAGGCGAGAGAAGCAGCAAAGGCGCAATGCGAGGAGGCTGAGAATGGTCGAGTGGAAGCAGAGAGAAAACAAGCAGAGGGTGAGAAGATGCAAGCAGAGGCAGAGAGAAAGCAGGCAGAGGCAGAGGCGGCACGGGAAGAAGCAGTGGAAGCGAGACAGCGAGCAGAGGTACGGAGGGAGGAGGCTGAGAGGAAGCAAGCCGAGGCTGAGAGAACGGAGGCAGATGCGAAAACAAAACAGGCAGAAGCAGAGGTGGCAAGGGAAGAAGCAGACGCAGCACGAGCAGCAGCGGAGGTGAGAATGGCTGAAGCGGAGAGGGATAGGGATGAGGCGTTGGCTGCTAGGGACGGGGCGTTGGCAGCAAAGGCTGCTGCAGTAGCGGCTAAGGAAGAGGGTGATACAGCAAAGGAAGAAGCTGAGAAGGCGAGAGAGGAAGCTGAGAAGGAAAGGGAGGAAGCGGAGAAGGCAAGAGATGAAGCTGAGAAGAGACTGGAAGAGGCTGAGAGGAGGAGAGGCGAGGCGGAAACAGCAAAGGAGGAGGCTGAGAGGAGGAGGGAAGAAGCAGAAATAGCAAAGGAGGAGGCTGAGAGGAGGAGGGAAGAGGCAGAAACAGCAAAGGAGGAGGCTGAGAGGAGGAGGGAAGAAGCAGAAACAGCAAAGGAGGAGGCTGAGAGGAGGAGGGAAGAGGCAGAAACAGAAAAGGAGGAGGCTGAGAGGAGGAGGGAAGAGGCAGAAACAGCAAAGGAGGAGGCTGAGAGGAGGAGGGAAAAGGCAGAAACAGCAAAGGAGGAGGCTGAGAGGAGGAGGGAAGAGGCAGAAACAGCAAAGGAGGAGGCTGAGAGGAGGAGGGAAGAGGCAGAAACAGCTAAGGAGGAGGCTGAGAGGAGGAGGGAAGAGGCGGAAACGGCAAAGGAGGAGGCGACAAAGGCCAAGGAGGTGGCTGAAGAGAAGCAGGAGGAGGCAGAGAAGGCTCTGGCGGAGGCAGAGTTGAGAAGGGAGGAGGCAGAAGGAGCGAGGGATGAGGCTGAAAGTGCGAAGGAGGAGGCTGAGGAGAGGAAGGAAGAGGCAGAGGAGGCAAAGGCAGCGGCAGAGTTGAGAAGGGAGGAGGCAGAGGAAGCGAGGGATGAGGCTGAAAGAGCGAGAGAGAAGGCAGAGGTGGAGAGGGAGGAGAGTGCGAGAGCAAGGGAAGAGGGTGAGAGGAGGGTAGAGGAGGCAGAGAAGAAAAGAGAGGAGGCAGAGGAGGGAAGGCGAGAGGCGGAAAGGGAGAAGGATGCAGCTGAGGCGAAGAGAGCAGAGGCTGAGACTGCTTGTGCGGAGGCCATGGCTGCTTGTGAGGAAGCAGTGAAGGAACGAGAGGAGGGAGACGAGAGGAGGCGTGAGGCGGAGAGGGAGAGGGAGGAGGCTGGGAAGAGGGCAGTGGAAGCGGAGGAAAGGGCAAGAGAGGCAGAGGCGAGAGCAAGTGGAGCAGAGAGGGCGGAGCGAGAGGCGAGGGAAGAAAGTGAGTTTGCAAGGAAGGCACAGGAGGAAGCAGAGCAAGCACGGGAGGTAGCTGTTAGAGGTCGAGAGGCAGCTGTGAAGGCGAAACAAGAAGCGGAGCAGGCACATGCAGCAGCGGAAATGCTGATGAACGAGGCAGTTTCAGCACAGGAGGAAGCGGAGATGGGAAGAGAGGAGGCGGATAAGAGAAGAGAGGAGGCGGATAAGAGAAGAGAGGAGGCGGAGAAGGGAAGAGAGGAGGCGGAGAAGGGAAGAGAGGAGGCGGAGAAGGGAAGAGAGGAGGCGGAGAAGGGAAGAGAGGAGGCGGAGAAGGAGAGGAAGGAGGCGGTGAGGGGCAGGCGAGAAGCGGAGAGAGCTCAGGCGGAGGCGGAGAGACAGAGGGACGAGGCGGAGAGAAGAATGGCTGGGGCCGGGATGAGCAAAGATGAGGCGGAGAGGGAGAGGGAGGAGGCGCACCGGGGGAGGGCTGAGGCGGAAAGAAGAATGGAGGAGGCGGAGAGCAGGAAAGAGGAGGCGCAGAGGAGGAGAGAGGAGGCGGAGAGAGCCAGGGACGTTGCTGAGAAGGCGAGAGAGGAGGCCGTTAGTGAGAGGGACGAGGCACTGCGAGGGAAGGCTGAGGCAGAGGAGAGGAGGGTGGAGGCAGAGAGGAGGGAAAGCGAGGCGGGGGAGAGGGAGAGGGGGGCAGTGAAGGCTCGGGAGGATGCTGAGAAGGCCCTGAGAGAGGGAGAGAAGGCTTTGGAGGAGGGTGAGAGAAAGCGAGTGGAAGCAGAGAGGGCTAGAGATGCTGCCGAGGCGAAGGCACAGGAGCTATTGAGGGCGGTAGAAGAGGCAGAGAGTAGGAGAGTGGAAATGGAAGGTGTGGCAGATGAGGCAGAGGGGGCTAGAGCTGCTGCTGAGGCGAAGGTGGTTGAGGCAGGGAGGTTGGTAGAAGAGGCTGTGAGACAGAAGGAGGAGGCGGAAAGAGAGAGAAAGGAGGCTCTTGAGGCGAGGGTAGAGGCCGAGGAGAGGAGTGTGGAGGCAGAGAGGGCTAGAGATGCTGCTGAGGCGAAGGCAGTTGAGGCAGAGAGGCAGGTGGAAGAGGCGGAGAAGGCCAGAAAGGCAGCGGAGGAGGAAAGGGAGAAGGCACTTGAGGCAAAGGCAGGAGCGGAAGAGAGGAGGGTGGAGGCGGAGAAGGCAAGGAGGGCAGCTGAGGATGAGAGGGACGAGGCGCTTGAGGCAAAGGCAGGGGCAGAGGAGAGGAGGGTGGAGGCAGAGAGGGCTAGAGAAGAGGCAGAGAAGGCAGGAAAGGCAGCTGAGGATGAGAGGGATGAAGCACTTGAGGCAAAGGCAGGGGCAGAGGAGGGGAGGGTGGAGGCTGAGAGGGCTTTAGAAGAGGCGGAGAAGGCGAGGAGGGCAGCGGAGGATGAGAGGGATGAAGCACTTGAGGCAAAGGCAAAGGCAGAGGAGGGGAGGGTGGAGGCTGAGAGGGCTTTAGAAGAGGCGGAGAAGGCGAGGAGGGCAGCGGAGGATGAGAGGGACGAGGCACTGAGAGGTGAGGAGTGCGCTGTGGAGGAGAGGTACGAACTGGTGCAGTCCCTCGACAGGGCGATCGAGGACAAGGAGGATTTGAGAAAGGCTCTTGAAGGGGCGGTTGAGGAGAACGAGGATTTGAGAAAGGCTCTTGAGGGGGCGGTTGAGGAGAAGGAGGATTTGAGGAAGGCTCTTGAGGGGGCGGTTGAGGAAAAGGATGAGGTGATGCAGTCGCTGGACAGGGCGGAAGAGGAGAGGGAGGATTTGAGGAAGGCTCTTGAGACTGCGGTTGAGGAGAGGAGTGAGGCAATGAAGGCTCTTGAGGGGGCGGTTGAGGAGAGGAAGAATGCAGCGAGTGCCGTTGACGGGGATGCTAAGGAGAGGTTCGAGCTGATGCAGTCGCTGGACAGGGCGGCTGAGGAGAGGGAGGATCTGAGGAAGGCTCTTGAGGGGGCGGTTGAGGAGAGGGAGGAGGCAATGAAGGCTCTTGAGACTGCGGTTGAGGAGAGGGATGAGTTGAGGAGGGCTCTTGAGGGGGTGACTGGAGAGCGGGATGAAGCAACGAAGGCTGTTGAAGATGCTGTTAGGGAGAGGGATGAATTGATCATGGCTGTTGAAAGGGCGAGAGGCGAGAGGGACGAAGCAGTCAGTGCTCTTGAAGGGGCGATGGGCGAGAGGGATGAAGCGGTGAAGGCTCTGGAGAAGGCGAGTGGGGAGAGTGGTGAGGTAGCGCAGGCTGTCAACGAGGCTGTAAGGGAGAGGGACGAAGCAGTCAGGGCTCTTGAAGGGGCGATGGGAGAGAGAGATGAAGCGATGCGAGTGATTGAAGAAGCAATTAGGGGACTTAGAGAGGCGATGGGGGAGAGGGCCACGACTGAAGCAGAAATGGCAGGGAGGGAGGAAGCAGAGAGGAGGCGGGAAGAAGTTAAGGGAAGGCTTGAGGAACTTACAGAGATCCTTGGGGAAATCAAGCGGATACAGATGGAGTCTGAGAGGAAACTCGAGGAGGTTGAGAGGAGATTGGGGGAAATTGAGAATGAGAAGGCGGAGGCAGAGAGGAGGAGGGAAGAGGCGGAGAGGAGGAGTGAGGAGGCAGAGGCGGAGAGAGAGGAAGCGGAAAGGACGAGGGATGAAGCTGTGGCTAAGATGGAAGAGGCAGAGGAGGCACGAGCAGAGGCAGAGAATGGGAGGGCGGAAGAAGAGGGGAGAAGAGAGAGGGCTGAGGAGCAGAGGGGGGGAGCGGAGGAGGAGAGGGTGAGAGTGGAGGAGAGGGATGAGGCTGAGAGGAGCAAAGAAGTTGTTTTGAGGGAAAAGGAGGAGGCAGTCGAAGCGTGGAAGGTAGCGGAGTGGAGGAGAGAGGAGGCAGAGAAGGCGCTCGGAGAGGCTTTGGAGGCAGCAGGGGAGGCAGAGGGTCAGAGGGAGGAGGCGGAGAGGGGGAGAGACGAGGCAGAGAGGAGGAGGGAAGAAGCAGAGAGGAGAGTAGAGGAGTTGGAGAAGGAGCTTTCGAAGATTGCTGTGAAGCTTGAAGAAATAGAGAAGGCAAAAGCAGAGGCAGAAAAGGCAGCAGAGGAGACAGAGAAGGCAAAAGCAGAGGCGGAAGAGGCAGCAGAGGAGACAGAGGCGTCAACAGCAGAGGCAGAAGAGGCAGCAGAGGAAGAAAGGGCAGCAGAGGAGACAGATAAGGCAGCAGCGGAGGCAGAAGAGGCAGCAGAGGAGACAGGGAAGGGGGGTTGGGAAACAGAAGGAGCAGCAGGTGAGGCTGGAAGGGCTGAGACGGCAGCAGGTGAGGCAAGTGAATGTGAGGAAGTTGAGGGGAGGAAGGCAGAGGGAGAGAGGAAGAGGGAAGCGGTGGAGAGGGAGGTTGGGGAGTTAGGGGAGGTGGAAAAGGAGGTTGAGGAGTTGAGGGAGGTGGAGGAGTTGAGGGAACGGATCAGTTGCCTGGAGAAGGAGAAGGAGGAGGCTGAGAGGGAGAGGGAAGAGGCTGAGAGACGATTGGGGGAGATGCAGGAGGTGATGGACGAGGAGAGAAAGGCGAGAGAGGAGGCCGTGAGAGAGAAGGAGGAAGCAAAAAGGAAGGCAGAAAAGGCTGAAATACGAGCAGAGGAAGCTGGAAAGGCGAGTGAGGAAGCAGAGAGGAGGGCGAAAGAAGCAGAAGAAGCAAGAGCGGACGCCGATAGGAAGGTGACAGAGGCAGAAGAAGCAAGAGATGGGCTGCAGGAGCGTTCGGAAGAAGCAGAGGGCGCATGGCAGGTGGCAGAGGCAGCGAGAGATGAGGCAGAGAGGAGATTAGAAGCACTAGAGCATCCCTTGAAGGAACCAGAGGGGGCAAGAGGCGAGTCGGAGAGGAGAAGGGAAGAAGCAGAGGGAGGTGGTGAGGAGGTGGAGAGGACAGTAGGAGAGATGGAGAGGCGTCTGAGGGAGGCTGAGGCCGCGAGAGAAGAGGCGGAGAGGAGAAGAGAAGTGGCAGAGGAAGGTTGGAAGGAGGCGGAGGCTGCGAGGGAGGAGATGGAGAGGGCGAAAGAGGATGCTGAGGCGAGCTGGGAAGAGGCGCTGGGCATGCTGGGTGAGGCGGAGAGGGGGAGAGAAGAAGCCGAGAGGGGGAGAGAGGAGGCGGAAAGAGCAAGAGAAGAGGCAACGAAAGCGAGAGAGAAGGCAGAAAGTGGGAGAGAGGAGGCGGAGAAGACGAGAGTGGAAGCTGAAAGGTTGGGGAAGGAGGCAGAGAGGGGGGGGGAGGAGGCGGAAGGCAAGGAACGTGGGAAGGCAGTGGGAGGGTTATTGAAGGAGGCTAAGTGCGGGCTGCAAGGGCTGCAAGGGGAGGCAATGGGAAGGCGGAGGATATCAGGAGCGTTGGTAGAGGGGCAAGTTGAGGCACTTAGGTCTGACGAGGGCGTGGTCGTCTCAGAATCTGGTGCGGCAGTTGCAGAGGAGAGAGTGGTAGAGGGAGAAGTAGTGGGAGAGGTGGAAGGAGAAGATGATACGGGGGGAGAGGAGGGAGTGGATGGAATGGCGGGTAGTGGATTGCTGAATAGTCGCGGAGTGGAGGCGGCTAGGGCTGCAGAGGAGATTGTTAGCGAGTACGGGCCAAGAGAGGGCAAAGGGAGGGGAGTGGCGTCCAGCATTGAGGAGGAAGGAGGCACTGGAGAGGTGACTGAGGAGGAGGAGGATAAGGGGTGCAGTGGGGAGGAGGCGGACAGGGAGAGCAGCGGGGGGGAGGAGGAGCAGGTGAAGGGAGTGATCTCGCACTGCACACAGAAAGAAATGCTGCCTGTGGATCTTGCTGCTGCTGCTGAGGTTGCAGACAGAGGGTGGACGAATACTGAGAGCATGGGGCCGGATGGAAGGGTAGGCATGTGCGCGGGTATGGAGTTTGATGGGATGAGAAGCATGAGTTTGGCAGAGGAGTTAGGAAGGGAGAGGGACGAGTTGAGAGCGCAGTGGGAGGAGATGCGAGACAAGTGGGAGGCGGCGGAGGATAGAGGGAGGGAGCTGGAGGCGCTTGTGAGTAAAACGGGCGTGCAGTTAGAGAGGGTGGTTGGGCGGAATAGAGAGGTGGAAGGGTTGCTGGAGGAACGGGAGGTGGGGCTGAGGAGGACGGAAGAGGAGAAAAGGGAAGTGGAGATGCTTTTAAAGAGGATGGAAGTAGAGAAGAGGGAGTTGGAGGCAATGGTGGCACAGATGGCCAAAGGGAGGGGTGGGGAGGAGGAGAGAGAGGGAGGTGGAGCGGAGAAGGCAGAGGAAGTTGGGAGGGAGAGCGTTGATGAGGGGGTGAAGGGACGGGATGGTGTGGAGGGAAGGTGGGAGGGAGCGAGGAAGGATGCAAAAGGGTTGGAAGGAGGAGAGGAAGGGGGAGAGGGTGGGGAGGGCGGCGAGGGAGCGGAGGTGGGGGGTGGGGAGAATGGTCGCACTTCTGGGAGGGAGGACGGGGAGGTGAGAATTGATTTTTCTGATGGGGGTAGTGAGTTTGAGAGGATGAGGATGGGAGAGAGTGTGGGGGAAGGGGATTGGTGGGCTGAATGGGCGGATGAGGCAGAGAGGGGCAGGGTAGAGGCAGATAGGAAGAGGGATGAAGCAGTGGAAGCAAGAGAGGAGGCAGGGAGGGAGCGGGATGAGGCGTCCAGAGCAAGGGATGATGCAGAGAGGGCAAGGGAAGAAGCGGAATTGAGCCTTGAAGAGGTGGAGAAGCAGAGAGATGACGCATTCAAAGCAAGGGACGAAGCCGTGAAAGCGTGCGAGGACGCTGAGGAGGCAAGAAGAGAGGCTGAGAAGGCGAGGGATGAAGTGCTGGAAGAAAGGGAGGCGATTCAGCAGTCGTGGAATGATGCTGTGGAGGGAAGGAGAGAGGCAGAGGCGAGGCTTGAGGCACTGCAGAACGCAATTGATGAGGCTGAGATGGCACGGGCAGAGGCTGAGACAGCAAGGGCAGAGGCTGAGAAGGCGTGGAAGGAGGCGGAGGAGAAGGTGGCAGAGGCGGAAGAGAGGAGCGAGGAGGAGAAGAAAGCAAGGGAGGAAGCAGAGAGGGCAAGGGAAGGAGCAGAAGAGGCAAGAGAGGGAGCGGAGAAGGCAAGGGACGAGGCCATGGCACTCCAAGCCATGCCGTGCACTGCATGTGCGGAAAAGGACGAGGCAATGCAATCCATTCTCAACGAGCTTGTTGCCGCCCAGGCTGCCTCCGAAGCTGCCGTAGCCTCGGCAGCTACCAATGCTGCTGAGGAGGTTCGGACGGAGCTTCGGATGGCACAGGAAGGGTGGGAGAAACGGCTGAGCGAAGTGGAAGGGGAGCTGGAGCGCGTGAGAGGGGAGGGGATGAGTCTTGAGAAGAGAGTAAAGGAAGCGGAGGAAGAGAGTGTGCGGTTGCAAGAGGAGGTGGAGGCTGAGAGGAAGGGGAGGGAGCAGGAGAGGACAGCAAAGGAAGAGGAGAGGAAGGCGAAGGAGGAGGAGAGAGAGAGAAGGGAGAAGGCAGAGGCGGGGAGGAGGGCAGCGGAGGAGGAGGCGCAGTTGACCAGGGAGGATCTAGAGGTGATGAGGGACGCCAAGAGGGAGACGGTGCGCAATCTGACCGACTCCCTGGTGGCGGCGGAGGAGCAGCGGAAGAGGCTGCTCTACCTGCTGCGAAAAGCTAAAGTCATTGACGGTGAGTTTGGTGCGTAAGTCATTGACGGTGAGAGGAATGTGTGTGGTAGCTAGGGAGGGAGAGGGAGATGGTGACGGTGCGCAATCTGACCGACTCTTTGAAAGCAGCTGAGGAGCAGCGGAAGAGGCCGCTCTATCTGCTGCGAAAGGCGCAAGTCATAGAAGGTGGGTGGGAAGTGCCAGACAGATAGGCTGAGGTGCGAATATGGTGTGTAGTTTAGCCAACCTTAGAAAAAATCAGCATCTAGAGGGTCGGCTAAACTCCGCACCATATGTGTCCTTCACCAACAACACAGCCAGATGGTGGGGTACGAAATGAAAGTGCACCAATGTAACGAAGCCTAAGGGCGTGTCCCAACCCAAGCGTACGTTTGATTGCGTTTGGGTGAGATGCTCTCCAAGGCAGAAGGATCAAACATCAATATACAACGGTTGAGTATGGTTTTTGGCAAAAAACGTACACTCCGGACACGCCCTAATGTGGTTGCCGCGAAATCAACACATGTATTTGCGTGGAATGTGGCATTTTCTCCCCGCATGGGTGTTGTATGTGCTCGATAGTCAACAGAGTTTGTGATTCGTGAGGCTTACCTTTGTGTGGACGAGCAGTTGCGAGAAATTCCTTATGTTCCATCTGTCCCCTGCCCATTCCGCCTTGTTGCAGGCCTTTAGCAGCGGCTGCGCCATTGCAACACGTCACCAGGACATGATAAAAGCACAATACACCATTGCACCATTCTCAAGAAATCATCAGTCATACGTGCCCTAGTGGTTGCAACTTGCTTCTCGAAGGAGACATTTCCCCACAATTGATGTGTCTTGTATGGTTTGTATAGTGTACCATCCTTATGTATCTGAAATGCAGCACTTCGTAAAATCACTTATTAAAATTTCGCGAGAATGCCGAGAACAGATGCGAAAAGATTGGCGAACCCCTGCGAGCTTGTAACCGTGCTACCGGGCAAGGGGCAGCGGTCACTACTTCAGCTTTCGGACTGCAAGACTGGCAGCATAGAAAAGCTATGAAAGCTTCTTGAAGGTCAAGAAAGCGGCCGGCAACTAGGATGGCGTTCGTAGGGTTGTTGCCAGAGGTTGCTCTCAGTGCACCGCCACGCCAAGGAAGCTGTTCTAAGAAGGCCCGTAGAAACCGAAACTGTCTAGTAGGTTGCTCAGTCGGCCACCGTAACTGGACAAGACCCATCTCGCCGCGAGGTGCATCGCGAACACATTGCGGCTCTTCTGCCCTGGCTTACAGTGGCGCGAAAACTGGCTGTTCGCATTCCGTCGCACAGGCGGGGAGCAGCGGTAGTCGCCGCGGCCACATAGCTGCTGGTGTTCTCTAGAGCCGTTGTTTTTTTTTTAACACCGTTGTTCGCATGGCTGCTGGTGCGAGTTGTTGACGTCGACTCTCCTGTGAACGCCAAGAGCCATTCATCCCATCTCCCAATACACTTCTCCAGCCGGAGTCGCCATGGTAGACGCCGCGTCGCGCAACGCGTCGCAGCAGCAGCAGCCGCCGCAGCAGCCAAGCCAGTCGCACAGCCAAGTCGTGCAGCCGTCGCAGCAGTCGCAGCAGTCGCAGGAGCCTCAGTCGCAGCAGCAAGAACAGCCGCACGGGCACGGTATGATGATAATCACGGACACCCAACCCCAGAACGCGCTGGTAGCAGAGCCACAGCCGTCGCAGCCGTCGCAGCAGTCGCAGTCGCAGCGACAAGAACAGCCGCACGGGCACAGTATGATAAGCACGGACACCCAACCTCAGAGCCCGCTAGTAGCAGACCCACAGCCGCCGCCGCAGCAGCAGCCGCTGGAGAGGGCAGTAGTAGAAACGGCGGCGGAGGCACGGAAAGCAGGTGAGAGCCGTCACGGAATCAGGTTGCCCATAATCCGTTGTCCGCCACAGAGTGCTCAAGAATCGCCTACAGCAGGCAGCCGTCACGGAAATGAGTTGTTGTCCAAAACCGATCTGGACTCTCGCGGCGAGGGGGACGAGGCGCTGAGAGGCGAAGCGTACTGCGTGGAGGACAGACGTGCGATGGTGACGGCCGTTGAAAGGGCGGAGAGGGCAGGGAAAGCAGTTGAGAGCGAGAGGGAAGAGGCGCTGAGAGGCGAAGAGAGTTTCGCGGAGGAAAGTCGTGCGATGCTGAGGGTCCTTGAAAGAGCCATTGCAGAGAGGGAGGAATTGCTGGCGGTGCTTTCCGAGGCTGTCAGGGACAGGGAGGAAGTGACGGCGGCGCTCGTCGAGGCCCTCAGGGAGAGGGACCAGTTAGCGAAGGCTGTTGAGGGAGCGATTGAGGAAGGGGACGAAGCACCGCGGGCGATTGAAAGGGCGATTGGGGACAGGGATGACGTGACGGCGGCGCTCGTCGAGGCGTGTAGGGAGAGGGACGAGGCGGTGAGGGCCGTAGAGGGGGCAAGGCGGGAGAGGGACGAGGCACTGACGGCTCTGGAGGGGGCGATTGAGGAGAGGGACGACGCGGTGAGTGTGATTGAAGAAGCGGCCAGGGCGCTTAGAGGGGCGATTGGAGGGGCGATTGGAGGGGCGAATGGGGAGAAAGACTTGATTGTTGGAGCAATACTGGCGGGGAGGGATGACGAGGTGGTGAAGCAGTTAGGGGATTTAGAGGGGCGTTTTGAAGCAGAGAATGTGAGGGATGATGAAGTGGTGAAGCTTTGCGTGGAATGTTTAACTGAGTGCGAAGGGGGGGTGTGTGCGGGGGGGGAGGTGGGAGAGAGGTGGGACGAGGGATGGGGGGAGGAGGCTGCTATGTTAAAGCATGATTCAGAGAAGTGGTGGCGAGAGGCGAAGTTTGACGAGGAAGAATCAGAGGGGAAGTGGGGAGAAGCGAAGGGGAGGGTGGAAGAACTGAAAGGAATACTTGATGCTGTGCAAGGGATGCAGACGGTCTCTGAGATGAAACTGGAGGAAGTTGAACGGAGGTTGGGGGAAAGTGACAAGAGATTGGAAAAGATGGGGAATGAGAAGGCGGAAGCGGAGAGGAGGAGAGAGGAGGCGGAGAGGGGGAGGGAGGCGGCGGAGAGGGGGAGGGAGGTGGCAGATGGGAGGAGGGAGGAGGAAGAGACGAGGAGGGTGGAAGCTGAGAGGGGAAGGGAGGAAGCGGAGAGGGGGAGAGAGGAGGCGGAGGCGCGAGCATGTGCAGCAGAGAGGGCGAGAGAGGAGGCTGAGGAGAGGGCAAAGGAGGCGGAGAGGAGGATATTAGAATGCGAGGAGATGGTTAGAGAGGAAGAGGCAAGGCGCATCGAGGCAGAGAGGCAGGCGATGGAGGAGGCGGAGCGCAGGAGGGGTGAGGCCGAAATGGCCACGGAAGAGGCTGTGAGGGCGAGATTGAGTGCTGAGAGGGGGAGAGCGGAGGCTGAGGAGAGGGCAAAGGAGGCGGAGAGGAGGATATTGGAAAGTGAGGAGAGGGCCCCAAAGGAGGAGGCGGAGCGTAGGAGGATTGAGGCTGAAAAGGCCACGGAAGAGGCTGTGAGGGCGAGATTGAGTGCTGAGAGAGGGAGAGAGGAGGCTGAGGAGAGGGCAAAGGAGGCTGAGAGGAGGATATTGGAATGCGAGGAGATTGTTAGAGAGGAAGAGGCAAGGCGCATCGAGGCAGAGAGGCAGGCGATGGAGGAGGCGGAGCGCAGGAGGGGTGAGGCCGAAATGGCCACGGAAGAGGCTGTGAGGGCGAGATTGAGTGCTGAGAGGGGGAGAGCGGAGGCTGAGGAGAGGGCAAAGGAGGCGGAGAGGAGGATATTGGAATGCGAGGAGATGGTTAGAGAGAAAGAGGCAAGGCGCATCGAGGCAGAGAGGCAGGCGATGGAGGAGGCGGAGCGCAGGAGGGGTGAGGCCGAAATGGCCACGGAAGAGGCTGTGAGGGCGAGATTGAGTGCTGAGAGGGGGAGAGAGGAGGCTGAGGAGAGGGCAAAGGAGGCGGAGAGGAGGATATTGGAAAGTGAGGAGAGGGCAAAGGAGGAGGCGGAGCGTAGGAGGGTTGAGGCTGAAAAGGCCACGGAAGAGGCTGTGAGGGCGAGATTGAGTGCTGAGAGAGGGAGAGAGGATTCTGAGGAGAGGGCAAAGGAGGCTGAGAGGAGGATATTGGAAAGTGAGGAGAGGGCAAAGGAGGAGGCGGAGCGTAGGAGGGTTGAGGCTGAAAAGGCCACGGAAGAGGCTGTGAGGGCGAGATTGAGTGCTGAGAGAGGGAGAGAGGAGGCTGAGGAGAGGGCAAAGGAGGCTGAGAGGAGGATATTGGAAAGTGAGAGGGCAAAGGAGGAGGCGGAGCGTAGGAGGGTTGAGGCTGAAAAGGCCACGGAAGAGGCTGTGAGGGCGAGATTGAGTGCTGAGAGAGGGAGAGAGGAGGCTGAGGAGAGGGCAAAGGAGGCTGAGAGGAGGATATTGGAAAGTGAGAGGGCAAAGGAGGAGGCGGAGCGTAGGAGGGTTGAGGCTGAAAAGGCCACGGAAGAGGCTGTGAGGGCGAGATTGAGTGCTGAGAGAGGGAGAGAGGAGGCTGCGGAGAGGGTGAAGGATGCAGAGAGGAGGGTAGCGGAAGGTGAGGAGAGGGTTAGAGAGGAAGAGGCGAGGCTAGTGGAGGCAGTGGAGCGGGCGAGGGAGAATGAGGAGCGGCGAGAGGAGGTTGAGAGACGAGTGAGGGAGGTTGAAGAGAAGAGGGCAGAAGCGGAAGGGAGGCTGGAGGAAGCTCAAGGGAAGTTGGAAGAAGCTTCTAAGGCGAAAGCGGAAGATGAGAGGCGATGGGAGGAGGCTTTTGAGTCGAGTCAAAACCAGATGGAAGAAGCATTGAAAAAGAATGCCGAGGCTGAGAAGCGGTGGGAGGAGGCGGGGAGAAGCAGAGAGGAAGCGGAGAGACGGAGAGAAGCAGCTGAAGCAGCGATGTTCGAGGCTGTTGAGATGGTGAAAGGAGCAGAGAAGGCGCGGGCAGACGCAGAGGAGGCGAGGGGTGAAGCGGAGAGGGAGAAAGAGGGTGCGGTGAGGGAGAAGGAGGAAGCTATAGAGGCGAAGATAGAGGCGGAGCTGATGAGAGAGGAAGCAGAGAAGGCGAGGGATGAAGCTGACACGGGGAGAAACCTTGCTGTGAGGCAAAGAGAAAGTGCGGTGAGGGAAAGGGAGGAAGCTGCTGAGGCGAAGAGAGAGGCGGAGTTGATGAGAGAGGAAGCAGAGAGGGCGCTTGAAGAGGCGGTTGAGGCAGGTAACGTGGTGAAAGGACGGGTGGAGGAGGCTGAGAGGGGGAGAGAGGAGGCGGAGAAAAAGAGAGAGGAGGCGGAGAAAAAGGGAGAGGAGGTGGAGAAAAAGAGAGAGGAGGCGGAGAGGAGGAGAGAAGAAGCAGAGAGGGCGCTTGAAGAGGCGCTTGAGGCAGTTGAAGTGAGGGAACGGGCTGATGGGTTGGAGAAGGCTAAGGGGGAGAGTGAGAGAGGGAGGGTAGAGGCGGAGAAGGAGAAGCAGGAGGCTGAGAGGGAGAGGAAGGAGGTTGAGAGAAGATTGAAGGAGGTGCGGGAGATGATGGTAGAGGAGAGAAGGGGGAGAGAGGAGGCTGAGAGGAGGGCAGAGGAGGCTGAGAGGGCAAATGAGGAGGGAAAGAGAAGAGTGATGGAAGCAGACGAAGCGAGAGAGGAGGCAGAGGCGAGGCTTCAAACGGTAGATCTCGCAAGAGAGAATGCTGAAAGGGGAAGGCAGGAGGCTGATAGAAGAGCGACAGAAGCAGAAGAAGCGAGAGCAGAGGCAGATGTGAGGAGACGAGAAGAAGCAGAGGGCGCAATGGATGCGGCACTGGCAGCAAGCGAGGAGGCGCAGAGGGGACGAGAAGAAGCAGAGGGCGCATGGCAGCAGGCAGAGGCAGCGAGAGCGGAGGCGGAGAGGAAGGCAGAAGAACAGGAGATTTCCTTGAAGGAATCGGAGTCAGCGAGAGAAGAGGCGGTGAAGAAAATAAAAGAAATGGATCATTTGTTACGGGAATCAGAGGCAGTGAGAGAAGAGGCGCAGAAGAAAGTAAGAGAAATGGAGAATTCCTTGAAGAAATCGGAGGCAGCGAGAGAAGAGACGGAGAAGAAAGTAAAGGAGTTGGAGAATTCCGTAAAGGAATCAGGGGCAGAGAGAGAAGAGGCGGAGAAGAACGTAAAACAAATGGAGGAATCCTTAAAAATATTGGAAGCAGGGAGAGAGGAGGCGGAGAAGAGAGTAAAAGAAATGGATATCTTGTTAAGGGAATCAGAGGCAGTGAGAGAAGAGGCGCAGGAGAAAGTAAAAGAGTTGGAGAATTCCTTACAAAGATCCGAAGCAGGGAGAGAGGAGGCGGAGAAGAAAGTAAAACAAATGGAGAAGGCGGAGATATCCCTAAAGAAATTGGAATCAGCGAGAGAGAAGGCGGAAACGAAAGTAAAAGAGTTGGAGAATTCCTTAAAAGAATTGGCGGCAGCGGGAGCAGGCGCAGAGATGAGGAGAGACGAATCAGAGGACGCAAGGCAGCAGGCAGATGCAGCAAGAGAGGATGCAGAGAGGAGGAGAGGAGAGGCAGTCGCAGCAAGGGATGAGGCAGTGGCAGCAAGGGAGGAGATTTCACAGCTACTGGGTGATGCAGTGGAGGCAAGGAGAGAGGCGGAGAAGCAGAGGGATGACGCTGTGAAAGCAAGGGATGAGGCGCTAGAAGCAAAGGCTGGGATTCAAAAGTCATGGGATGTTGCTGATGAGGCAAGGAGAGAGGCGGAGGTAAGGATTCGAGAGCTGGAGCACGCAAGGGAGGAGGCTGAAAGGGCAAGGACAGAAGCGGAGACGGCAAGGGCAGAGGCTGAGAAGGCGTGGAAGGAGGCAGTGGAGAAGGTGGCAGAGGCGGAAGAGAGGAGCGAGGAGGACAAAAAGGCAAAAGATGAAGCAGGGCGGTTGAGAGATGAAGTGGAAAAGGCAAGGGAGGAAGCAGAAAAGGCGAGGGAGGAAGCTGAGAAGGCGAGGGAGGAAGCTGAGAAGATGAGGGAGGAGGCTGAGAAGGTGAGGGATGAGGCGATGCTCAGCCAAGGCATGGCGTGCGCTGCATGTGCGGAGAAGGACAAAGCCATGCAGTCCCTCCAGGCTGCTTCAGCTAATCAAGCCGTGACATGCAGTGCGTGTGCGGAGAAGGACGAGGCAGTGCAGTCCATACAGGCAGCCCAGGCTGCCCGCATTCTCAACGAGCTCGCTGCTGCCCAGGCTGCCTCCGAAGCTGCCATAGCCTTGGCGGCTGCCAATGCTGCTGAGGAGGTTCGGGCGGAGCTTCGGATGGCACAGGAAGGGTGGGAGAAACGGCTGAGCGAAGTGGAAGGGGAGCTGGAGCGCGTGAGAGGGGAGGGGGCGAGGCTGGAGAAGAGAGTCAAGGAAGCGGAGGAAGAGAGTGTGCGATTGCGAGAGGAGGTGGAGGCTGAGAGGAAGGGGAGGGAGCAGGAGAGAACAGCCAAGGAAGAAGAGAAGAAAGGCAGGGAAGAGGAGAGGAAGGCGAAGGAGGAGGAAGGGGAGAGAAGAGAGCAGGCAGAGGCATGGAGGAAGGCAGCAGAGGAGGAGGCGCAAATGGTGAAGGAGGATCTAGAGGTGATGAGGAAGGCGAAGGAGGAGGAGAGGGAGAGAAAGGAGCAGGCAGAGGCAGGGAGAAGGGCAGCGGAGGAGGAGGCGCAGCTGGCCAGGGAGGATCTAGAGGTGATGAGGGACGCCAAGAGGGAGACGGTGCGCAACCTGACCGACTCCCTGGTGGCGGCGGAGCAGCAGCGGAAGAAATTCCTGGCTCTGATGCGACTGGGGGAAGTGTTTGAAGGTGGGTGCAACAAGGGAGGTGTTTGAAGGTGGGTGCAGCAGGGGAAGTATTCAAAGGTGGGCTCAATGTGCAAGCCCTGTCTCCAAGGCGAGTGGAAGATTTCCTGTCGCTGATGCGACTCGCAGTAGTTTTTGAAGGTGAGTTCAGGGGGCAAGCCATCGAAGGTGGGTTCAGATTTGAAGTGCCTGTCGGGTAGGGTGACGAAGGGAGACGGTGCGAAATGTGACTTGGTAACTTTCTGGTGGCAGCAGAGGAGCAAATGAAGAGGCTAGTGGGTGGTGGGTGGGTAGCTTGAGGCTAGTGGGTGGGTAGCTTGAGGCTAGGAGGTGGGTAGCTTGAGGCTAGGAGGTGGGTAGCTTGAGGCTAGGAGGTGGGTAGCTTGAGGCTAGGAGGTGGGCAGCTTGAGGCTAGGAGGTGGGTAGCTTGAGGCTAGGAGGTGGGTAGCTTGAGGCTAGGAGGTGGGCAGCTTGAGGCTAGGAGGTGGGCAGCTTGAGGCTAGGAGGTGGGCAGCTTGAGGCTAGGAGGTGGGCAGCTTGAGGCTAGGAGGTGGGCATTTGGAAGACCTCGAAGCAGGCATTAGAGTTGAGGACTGGACGTGGATTGTGGGTGATGCGTGTATGTTGGAAATGTGTTGCACGCGGGTCAGTGAAAGGGCATGCTTGCATGCCCTGACTGAGGCTGCACTACCAATAATATGTTGCGTGTGTATTGTCTTTTTTGCAGGCCTCTAGCTATTCCAGCTTCGACAGATGTGACGAGGGAGGTGAAGAGGGAGACAGTTTGCTAACTGACGGACTCGCTGGTGGCGGCTGAGGAGCAGTGGAAGAGGCTGCTCTACCTGCTGTGAAAGGCACACTTGATAGAAGGCAAGTTTGTTGTGCAAGTCATACAAGGTGTGTGAAATGTGTGCGTTAAGGAGGGGGCGAAGGGGGCGACGGTGCGCATCCTGACCAGCTCCGCCGTGGTGGCTGAGGAGCAGAGGAAAAGGCTGCTTTCTCTGCTGCGAAAAGCGCGAGTCATAGCAGGTGGGTGGGGAAGTGCCAGTCAGGTACCGAGGTTGAAGTTGGGAGACGTTGAGTTGTTTGGAGTGAGGTGCATGTCATAAGATATTCTAAATGTGTAAAAGGTATTCCTTTGGAATGAGGCATTTTTGTTGTATGCGCTCGATAGTCTAAGGGCGTATTCCTACTTAAGCGCGTTCAGTGCCAGGAAACCGAACTTAGCGAACTACCGAATTGAACCGCACAGGAATTCGCGTTTCAACCCTCGGGCCTCACTGTTTCGCGTTTCAGACCCAATTTCGGGTTTGCTGGTACTGAACACTGTCCTGTAGGAATACGCCCTAACATGGTCTGTGAAGCTTGTCATCGTGCGAAGCACTCGCACCAACTCTTTAACAATCTTTTTGCTGCCTCCCTGCTCTGCCCTTCTGCAGGTCACTAGCAAAAATCCTATTCACACCTTTACACAACAAATAAAGCATTCACATCTGCAGAATCCTAGGCGTGCCAAGTTCCGTTTTAGTGGAACACATCTTCAGTATATTGATATTGTACGGTTCATGTAGTGCACGATTTTAATGCAGCACTTTGTAATGCCACATCAAATGACTTCGCAAGTCTGCTGAGGCAATATGCGACGAGGCTGACGAAAATTTGCGATCCGGTTACCGCAAGCTAGCTGGCATTACGTGAACTTGACCTTAGGGGCTCGGTTTCTGTAGTCCAGTTAGCAATGTTCAGGTCATTTGCGTAAGGCAAGTTCGGATGTCAGGTCAACTACGCTACGCAGATATTTTGTTTCGAGGTTCGCAGAAAACCCCAGCGACACGGGCCAAGTCGACGCCCGCTGACAAAACCGAACCACCAACGATTCATCTGGTGATGCGAAATTCATCTGGTGATGTTCGGGTTGGGGAATCGGGCCACGCGCAAATTCGCTAACCATTTTGCGAATTTCGGGCATCAATCTCTAACTCCAGGCTTGTACACATTCGATCATGGGTTGCCAAACTGATTTACGTGAACTACGCCCTGAGGACGGCAGCCTACTAGCCCCTATTCTCCAACATTCCACCACGCGAAAATTTGCGCCTCATCTTGACTTTTGCGCGGATTGGTGTGAGTGAGGTTGACAAGAGTTGATAACGCACGCGCACCCGCGCCCACTGGCTGCTGCCGCAGTCAAGAAGCTCTCGGCTTGTGCGGTTAGGGGGGGGCGTGTACCCCCATTCCACCAATGATGATGTTACACGCGTCCTCGTCGACTCTTCATGCAATGACCCCGAGAAGGGGCATCTATCGCCCCTTGTCCATTTCGACTCCGAGAGTCTTGGCTTCCGCCGGAATGCGATTCGCTCGGCCCAGTGGGCTGCTAGCGACGGGGCTGTTTCAAAGGTACTTCGTTTGCCCCTCCCAAAAATTAGGGTGGCAAATTGTCACCTCCAAGACTACCGCAAGTGACCTTGGGGTTTTGCGCATTGGGAAAACGTTGGTTAGTCAAGAGTTGGTTAGTTGACACTAAATTGAAGCCGAGGTTGTCGACGAGTAAAACGTTGGTAAGGCGTAAAGAGTTTCCTGTATCGATTGATGTCAAAAGGATAGTGCCGATATTTTATGCTGCAATTGTTTGACCGTTGGCGAGTGTGATTGGGCAGGGTTGAAGAAGTCGACGACGGTTGTATATGAAAGGATTTGTTGAAGAGACCATGTGGTGGCCACAACAACTATCCAAGTACCAAGTATCGGTATCTGTACTGCAACCAGCCATGTGAGTGTTTGTAGTCGGTAAGCAAAATTTTGACGTTACCGTTTTGTTGGCAGAGTTTGAATTATTTGCTGCCGGCTTCGATAAGTTGATTGGAGGAACACAGTTGAGTGACGTTGGTGTTGTTGATGTTGTAGATGTTGCTTTTGGAGGCGCAGGCTGCTGCAAAGACTGCTTCGAAGGCTGTCGTAGTTGCTGTGATAATTTCGACTGCTGCGGTTCTTCAGGAGGTAAATACATCTTCTTAAAGTAGCAACGGTCAGTAGAATATCCTCTCTTGTTGCAATTGTAACAGAAGTATTGAGGACGTCGAGTTGGTGTTGAATAGAAACTAAGTTGTATATCCCCCTTTTTGTTGCGTTGTGACTGCAGGTCAAGATATTGCTGTTCTGCTTGAAGATACGAGGAAATTTCGGCTTCGGAGAGGTTCGGGTTCATGCACAGGAAGGCGCGCGTTTGTCACCATTCGAGTCCAAGACCAGCAAGAAGGACCGTGAGATACATCTCACGAGGGAAGTATCCTCCACTCTTTTCCAGTTGATCTCGTAGTATACGGACGCGATTGACGTAGTCCATGACATTTTCGCTTGTCATCATCTGCACACTTGTCAGCTGCGAAAGTATTTTACTCACTGTTATTGTATCTTTTGCCATGTATACCTCCTTCAAGTGGTTCCATGCAGTTTCAGCTGGTGTAAAACTTGAATGAAATGATCGGATGCCGAGCTGCTCCTTCGGTGACAGGTTCCGAATAAGAACTGTATACGCCCCGAGAGAGGCGTGCAAGAAACTCTGCTGCTCCAGTTGTGTTCCCGTAACAAGATAGGTGAATTCACCGGTGAAGAACGGCCAAAGCCCGGCGGACTGCGCCAGAAGTTTGAACTCGAAGCTCCAGGAGTAAAAATCCACTCCGTTAAAAGGTATAGTGGTTTTTATCTGTATGCGGTTAAGTAAATTTGGAGGCTGAAAAATAATACCCGGCTGTTGCTGTTGTTGCTGTTGCTGTTGTTGCTGTTGCTGTTGGAATTGCTGTGGCTGCTGATGATGCTGTTGTTGTTGCTGTTGCTCAGCAGGGGAACGTCCGAAAATGTAGAAAGGATGGTGAAACTGCTGCGACTGCGGCTGCTGTACAAAAGGTGAGAAAGTGAACGAACCAGTTCTTGGAGCTGTGGCTCCACGCATATAACTCGAGCCATCAAGGCTCATTCCACTGCGTTGAAACTGGTGGCTGTACTAACGCTTGTTGCTGTGCTGTTGTCTATGATTGTTGTTGTTGCGCTGCAGGTGCAGTCGAAGAAACACCTGGAGTGTTAACAGAAGGCGAATTCTGCTGTTGCATACCGATATGAGCATAGGCTGGTGGAAACGGTCCAGAGGCTGAGAGACCAGTGACGGTCGTGGAGACATGTACTCCAGTAGTTCCGGAAAATGATCCGGCAGACGGTGCTGGTGGTGAACCAGTCATTGTTGACAGTAGTCTTAATTCCAGATAGCTCTCATACCATGTAATAATTTGACAGGTGGTGCAGGAGACTAAGTATAGAATCTGCAACCACGAGTACTTAACCAAGGATCTTTGAGGGAATGGTAGACTAGAAAGACAGCGGAAGTCTTATAGGAGTGAACCTGAGCACATGAACTTGTGGGTAGTCGAAGGTTGAATAACCTGAGCACATAATTATGTGTAAAGTCAAGGTTGATAATAGAAAGGCATTACAAGGATTTATAGCTCTAGGGAAAGTACCTGTTCGGCTAGTTGCACGCTATGCGACCTATTCGTCATACTATAGGGTCGCAACTGTTCGCGTGATTGAAACGACTCGTTACGCCTATTCGCGTAACTGAAGCGGTATGCTGACATCATCCCGAGACCCGCGATGCTTTGCTGACATCAGCACTCGGGCATGGTTACTTACTGAGAAACTCGATACTGCTAACTACACTGAAAACGGAACTTGCAGGAATGCAAAACTTCATTTACCACAACACTCCTATTGCCAACTTATCGTATTAGTTAAGCTTGCCTGCACATACCACCAGCACCTCTTTCCCAGCCTGCACGGATGGGCAGCTCAGGCCGGGACTAGGATTTGTTGATACAGCTAGGTCGTGTCCCAGGCCACATTTGTCCCGGGCCACAGCTAGGTCGTGTCCCAAACCACATTTGTCCCAGGTCACGACCTAGCTATGTCGTGTCCCACCAATAAAATGTGTCATGGGACACGACACAACTCAGGCCGTGACACAGCTAGGTCGTGTCCCAGCCTCTTTCCTGGCCTGAGCTGTAAAACCATAATCACGGCTTAGCAAACACCAACAAGCACTCATGATGCATGGCCATCTAGCTGGTAGCCGCTCGCTGCACACACGAACATTGTCAAGCACAATATTAGGTGTGAAAGAGTGGCCTGCATCCACCCCTGCAAAGGCCCGCATAAGTCTGGGTTTGAAACGGTTTAAAACACCAAGCAATTTCACGCAGCCGTCCACTTACCCCTTGGCAGTTGCCCGAAATTACCAACAAATGAAGGCCAGCTTTACAGGGAGGGGAGGGGGAGGGGGGGATGGGAGGGGGGGACAATGAGGATGGCGAGGAAAGAAGGGGAGACAAAGGCTGTAAGGTAAAAAGCATGAAACAAAGTGCCAGTCAAAGTTGGGGGGAAACAGAGTGCAGCAAGAAGGACGGAAGGAGTGGTGGTTAAGGGGGGGAGGGAGAGGGGGGGAAATAACGAGAAGGATGAGGACACAAAGGGGGCAATGTGGAAGTGCTACAACTGTACCTGAATACGGTGAGGAGCCTGTTGAGCTTGATAGGGACATGCGATGAGCACCGGGAGAAGCTCGCGCGTCTCACCTGAAATGCACCGAGATCGCCACATGCGTCCCGCCCAAAGTGCATCATGAGAAGCTCACACGCCCGACGTGCACCGCGAGAAGCTGCGAGAAGGCCTAGGGGAACGGTAAGAAGGGAAAGTATGGGAGGAAGATTGGAAAACGAAAAAGCTCTTGGGAATAGAAAACCTACGCAGAACAAGCACACACGAGGAAGAGCATCCGGGAAAAAACATCGTGATACTGAGAATTAGACAGTTGCAATTGTGCATATTGCTGAAAAATGCATACTACACAGCGCTGGGCACGTTTCTGTCTAAGTAGAATGCTTGTGCGGGAAGAACGTAGACTAGCAGAAGGGAGGACCAAGAAAGATAACGGGTTTTGGGTTGAGTCGGTACTATATGTGTGACTGGGATTCGTTGAGACAGTTAGGTGTTGATATCTGGGCTGTATACAGTGCGCCAAATTGAGGCGCCCAATATGTTGAACACTTTCATACCCCATATTACAGGTTTTGTCAAGAGACAAAATGCCATTCTCTTGTTCTATCCATCATATTCCACAGTTCTTCACGCAATTCGCTTTCGCGAGGGCTCTTGAACTTGTTGTCTAGCCTGAGGGCTCAGGCTCGACTAGTGTCTCGATTCAGGCCCAACCTGTGAAGTTACCTGCGGGTCACCTCGAACCGAGCTTCGGCCCTATTGGCTGGTCGGATCCCACGCGACACTTACCGAAAATTTGGCTAATTTCGTATGCGTCGCCACTACCCGCAGGTAACTCCGAGGGGTCTTGCGTGGAACTCTGGGTAGTCTGGGGTGGGGTGTCCCACACTCCAAAAGGCATAATGAGTCTTGGGAATTTTGGGATGTACACTCGGATCGCTCCTCGCGCGACTTTCGGTCGGCCTCTTTTTCTGAGGCGTCTCGAAGAGAGAGGGTTGTTTCAAAGAGAGGGGGCACGTTCTTTGCCACTACTCTAATCTATTCTCAGAGCGCCGCTCGG